AGACTCAACTTTCATCTCCCATGATGACATTTCTTGAAAAGGTAGAAACAAATTAAAAAGCTGGAAACTGAAGCACCATGATCACAACTCCAATACAAAACACTGTTCATGATCCATGCTTTCTGGCACACCATAAAACACACCTTCTCTTAATTATGCTAGTTAACAACTGGCTGCTTACACCAAATAAGTTGAATCTTGTTAGTAAGGCTTTCTGTACCACTTCTCATATTAAAGATCCTTCCTGCTGGTTGGCACTTACCAGTAATATTCACCATATTTTCAGATGACAGCTCAGGTATACAACTGTCTCATCAAGGTCCTACTGTAGACCTGGGACTTCTGTACTTCCACTCACATTATATTGGCCAAAGCATGTCATACGGCTGCTCCCACTTCCAAACTGCAAGGAAGTACAATCCTGTCATGTGCCTACAGAGAGCATAAGGTGAAAAGTAAAGTGGCATGAGACCCAAATAGGCCTCTTTCTGTATAGAAATAAGGAGTTCAATAATTATGTCCTGTGTCACTATCAAATGTTTCCCAGAGAGTTTGTCACCAAGTAGAACCTGTGGTTCTGTGTGGACTTCTATCCACACAGGTATCACCTCGACCCTCTACCCTGCGATTGCCCAGTCTTTTAGCTAGCGAGATGGGTTCCAGGTGAACATTATTTCCTATAGGGAGATCACAATTGTTCTAGAGAAGGAAGACACCTGATTCAAGTTGGGTCTGCTTAGAATGGTTAGGAGGTTTGAGTTTTTCTCTATGTAGCTGAAATTGTAGCCCTATACTGAGAGGTGGGTGGTACACACATTTCCCATTATGTTTGGAATGCAGAGAAAACAGGTCTGCAGGAAGAATTCCATTATATTCCCTAGCTCTGCTTTTGACCTACCCAGAAGCTCTGCTAGGTTTTATCTTGGTCTCTGAGAGAGTACCACTCTCCCCCCTCTTACAAAGTTCTAACATTCCATTCATTTTTTTAAAAATTGGCCAGATGAGGGCCAGTGAGATAGTTCAGCAGACTAAACATCTGTTTAGGCAAGTGCAGGGACCCACGTTCAATACCAGGCAACACATGTCATGTCAGCACCCCCCTTAGGGCATGCTGAGCAGGCCACCAAGACCAGGTGTGGTGGTGCACACCTGTAATCCCAGCGCTGGGGAGGCTGAAAACAGAGGATCACTAGGAGCCTGAGCCGCATAGTGAGACCCTGTACAAAATACATTTTTAAAAAATATATGTTTTTATTTTTTATTTTAATTTGTGTGTGTGTGTGTGTGTGTGTGTGTGTCCAGCTCAGCCCACCAGGGGCCGGGGCTGGCTGGCATGTGGTGCTGGGGGATTGAACCGCGGTCTCTTTGCTTTGCTAAGCTTGTTCTAAGTAGGTGCTTTAGATCACTGAGCCATCTCACCAGCCCCAAAATACATTTTTTAAAAATTGGCCAGGTGGATTACTTGTACTTGCAGCTAGCAAACTGGTATGTGTTCTTTGCCTCTTTGAACTGACGTAGAAAAGTTCATAGCTTTGTCCATTTCCATAGAATACAGGTCTAGTTGTAATTACATCACATAAATTATACTTCTGGCAGTTTCTTTCCTATTTAAGAAAGCTCTTCAGGGCTGGGGAGATAGCTCGGTGGCCTAAGTGTCTGCTGGGAAAGTGCAAAGACCAAGTTTGATCCCAGTACTGCATGGTGGTACACACTTGTAATCCCAGCACTGGGGAGGCTGAGCCAGGAGGATCACTGAGTCCAAGCTGTGTAGCGAGCCCCTGTATCAAATAAATAAATAACAAAGCTCTTCAAGATGTGAGTATAAGTGACATTATAGGAATAATCTTGAATCTGTTTAACTTTATCTTCTAGAGGAAAAAACAACTTGCCTCCTCCGGTAGACAGTATTTGTTCTTTTTTTTAAATTTTTAAATTTTTTTTTTAATTTTATTTGTGTGTGTGTGTATGTGTGTGTATGTGTGGCCAGCTCAGCCCACCAGAGGGCAGGGCTGGCTGGCATGTGGTGCTGGGGGATTGAACCGTGGTCCCTGTGCTTTGCTTAGCTTAGCTTGTTCTAAGTAGGTGCTTTAGACCACTGAGCCATCTCACCAGCCCCGACAGTATTTGTTCTTTTGGGGGGGAGCTGTCCTTTTGAAACAGGGTTTCACTATGCAATACAAGCTGGCCTTAAACTCAGTTTGTAGCCCAGGCTGGTCTCAAATTTACACAATTTTCCTGCCTCAGCCTCTCATGTGCTGGCATTATAGGCATGTGCCGCCATGCCCGACATTGGGAAACAGTATTTGTGTACACTCTATCTGGCATTAAATGTATACTGCTTCTTCTCCCTGGACTCCCTTTCTCATCAGCTCCACAGGTTCAGTCCCAATGTCATCTCTGGGAAGGCTTCTAACTCTGTCCTGGACACTCTTAAGTATAACTCCCTGAAGCAGCTGACATATCCATCTAGTATTATGTATTTCCTCCCAGAGTGTTTCCACTCACCCTGGTGCTAGGGATCAAACTTGGGGTCTCTTGCACGCACTCTACCATTGCGCCATGCCTCCAGCAGAAGTATATTTCCTTCTCTGAAATACTGACTTCCTCGGGTCAAGAGAGTTCCTTGTTTATCTCTGTATGCCTCAGGGTGTCTGGATCAGAATAAGTCCTTGGAAAAATTTACTGAATAAATAAGATAGATTGGAGCAACATATCCTATATATTCTCATTTATTCACAAGAACTATTAGGTACCTGAACATGTCCATGTTCTTGTTATAGATGAACAACAGCAAAAACCTCCTGACCTCAAGGAAATTAGGAATATTCAAGACATAAGGGGTAGAAGGAAAAGTAAAGCACAGTGAGGAGGAGCAGAATGGTAAGTGGTGAGATTTGATGTTTTAGTGGATGTGTAAGAATGTCTTTCCAGGAAGGTGACTTTTGAGTAGAAATTTGGAGTGAGGGCACATGTATTTCTCATATTTGGGGGATGAAACACTAAGCACAAAGGTCCTGAGGTTGGAGTGAGCCCCTATGCTCTGGGACTAGGAAGGAATCTTGTGTGGCTGGCTGAGGAATGAGGGAATAGAGAGGAAGAAGATGCTGCTTGAGAGATAGGGAAAAGGAGGTAGAGAGAAGACAGATCACATAGGAAGTGAAGGCCCCAGAACAAAGAATTATTTTATACTGAAATGCCAAACTGTTAGATGTTTTAGAGGAGAGAGACTTGGGTTTTAACAGGATCCATTTGTCTGCCATGCTGAGCTAGTAGGAGGGAGAACAGGTAGGAGGCTATTGTAATATTTCATGGGGGGAAAAAGAATTTTAAAGGCAGAGCTGACAAGCTTTGCTAATGGATATAATATGAAGACAGGAGTCAAAGATGACCACAATGGTTTGGCCTCCCTCACTAGAAGAGTTGACATTAATTGAGGTGGGGAAAGAAGGTACAAGCAGCAAGTTAGGAGGGAAGTTCGGTGTGTTTGACTCTGGGCATGTTAAATTTGACACACTGCTCATACTTTATGTACCAGTTCACTGGCTTTCTGGGCCTGAAGATTAATTAAGTTACCTAATGCACTCTCAAGTTAAAGCTCTCCTTATTTACTGAACACCAAGGCAGTGTGCAGAAAGCTTTACATATGCTTTATATGTCATTTAATCCTCTCACTTATCTTATTGCATAGTTGCTAATATTTCCTTACTCTTTTATGGATGAGGGAATAAACCCAAAGACACCCAGCTAATTATTAATCTGCCAGATTAATGTACATCTGGGATTTGGACCCAGGGGTGTCAAACCAAAGAGCCCTGTTATTAGTTACAGAATTCTAAAGGTAGGGATCACTTTCTGATCACGTATGCCACCAGCTTGGGTTCCATAACAAAAAGCGTGCTTGATCCAAGTGGCAATGCAGCAACGGACCCACCCTCATCCCAGGCGTGCATGTTAGAGCGCAGATGAAGAAAGAGGTCAGCGTTATCGCAGTCAGGGAGGCTGATGCTTGAATGCTCAAGTATGTGAAGATTTAATATTGTTAAGGAAGAGGTCATTGAAAGTTTGTTCAGGCTATTATTACTTTTAAGAAACAAGAGGGTATTACAAATTGCAGGGAAGCCTTGATGATATAAAAGGATCAATCCCCAGTGTTTCCAGGGAAAGACTGCATGGGGAGAGCGGCAGGGGACAGACCGGGTCCCAGCCTAGTCCACCTCTGTTTGAAAGCGTTGCCTGTTGTGGTCTGCAAGGAAGACCAGAATGTAAAGTACAAAAGCCGGGAACCTCAGAAGCCACAGAACCCAGGCCACCGTCTCCTCCCGCCTCCAAGCACCGAAGAGCACCACGCATGCGCCGGGGCCGAGGTCCGCTTCCCCGCGACGTCGGGGGCTCGCGCCCGCTCGGAAGCCCCGCCCCACGGCGCCTGAGGCGACCGGGGCGGGGGACTCCCGACCACGCCCCCAGTGGGGCCGAGCGAGGCCGAGCCGGACCGAATGCCTCCGAGTGCCACCGAGCAGAGCCGAGCGGCCCGGAGTCGGTTGGTGCAGCTGCGTCCCCGCCGCTCAGCAGTCCGCGGCTTCGGCGTAGCCGCCGCCGCCGCCTCCGCGGGGCCTGCGTCGGCCGCCCGCTCGCCCGCCCGCCTGCCGGGAGGGAGGCCCCCGGCGCGGGGAGAGCGGCTCGGCCAAGGCGCAGCGTCCGCTGCCGCTGCCAGGTGAGCGCCCTTCGCGGCAGCCGACCCCAAGTGCCCCCGCAGCTGTCAGTCCCCGGTGTCTGTGTGTCTCTGCGTGTCAGCCCCTGTGTCTGCGCGAGCTCCTTCCCGCCAGGCCGGGACCGCCCGGCCTGTAGGCTCCGTCAGCCCCCTCCGCCAGCAGCCCGGGTCTGTCAGCCGCCAGCACCCCCTGCCGGGAGGCTCCGCCCCTTCCCCCCGAAGCCCGGCCCCTCTCCCATCTGTCAGCACCCCCAGCTCCTGGCTCTCGCGCCCCGGCCCCCGGGGGTCATTGTGCCCCTTGGGCCACCCACTGGCCAAAGGGTCGAAAGGGCGTGGCGGAGAAGTGGGGTGCCGGCGAAGGCGCGCCGAGCGAGCACCGCTGGTCTACTACCGCGGGCCGGATGGGGCAGCCCATGCCGCTGGTGTAAAGAGGTAGCTGCCCCAGCCGAGGCGCCCGAGCCGGACTCGAACTGCGCGGGGTCCAGTAGACTCCTGAATCTCGGGGTCCTTGTTCGCGTGTGGGAAAGCAATGCACGTGAGCTCTGGGTGTCCCGGGTGCTCGGGAGGGCGTGTGACAAGTTTACAAGACTCGTTAAGCCTTCCTACCTTAGGTTTTTTAGTCAGAGAAGCAGTTGGGAACGATGGCCCGGTGGGTGGGTGGGATGCGCGTTTAGGTGCAAAGTGAGAGTTTGAGTCATTTGGAATGGCACTGTTTGAGTTTCTGAACGGCGACTGCCTTGGGCTTGAGCCCTGCATGAAACACTTCTGTGCTGGGGGGGGGGTAGAGGGGGTATTAGGTAGAGGAGGAGAGCAGGCCTATGCTTTTCTGTTTTTATGTCCTGTGGACACATAGAGTATGTTTGTCTACACATCCTAAATGTTTATTCATGAGACAGCCACACATTTTCAATTTAAAAAAGATTACTGTAGTTTCCATTTATATACGTGTTCTTGTATGTGGTTTTCTTGATGTTTTTATTTGTGGTAACTGAGTACTGCAGTATTTCAAAACTAAGAGAAAAAGCGTCTTAAAACAATTGGTATTTTGCCGGATAATTCTCAACCACGGAGAAAGAGCCAAAAATGTACTTCATTAGCTGGAACAATTTATTCGAGCGCAATTTGTTTCTAAGAGACATACAGTGGAAAAATCCAGAAGCTGTAAAGAAGTATCAAAGAAACTTCGGAAATGAATGAAACAGGCCCCTCTATTGCTGCCTTGGAAAGATAGTATCGGAGATGTTTTAAAACACAGAGTTACTATGTAATGGTAAACATATTAACCAAGTTGGTTTTGCGACCTTGATATGTGGAGTCAGACTTGATTTGTGCAGTGGTTCATGACAGGCGAACATTGCAGAAGTGTGGTAATTTTTGGAAAAATGCTTCCCACGTTTTTTGTTTTTATATTGAAGATTTCAGACTAGGATCCTTTCATGGTGCGGTAGGTTTTTGTTTTTTAAAGAGAACATTAAAATTTACAAATAATTCATATTTAAGGCAAAAAAACCCTTTAAAAAGCAAACGTAAAAGAAAAAACTATAATCTCACAAATCATAGTGAACCCATAGTTTGACATTTATCTTTTTTAGTCTTTTCTTTCCATGCATACATATATTTTCTTGCAAAAATGCTACAAACTAAAACTTATTTTATACTTTTCCTTTAATTTGTAATTAATTATGAGAGAGATGTTGTAGTTTTATGAGTAGGAACTTGTGTTCCCTTTGTGATCCTTTTAAAAAGTGAGGTTGTGCTACTTTTCTGCATAGAGCACTCTAATAGTTTCTCATCTTAAAGTAAAACCTGAACCTGAAGTTCTTACTATGGCCTACTAGGCTACCTACCTCTCTGTCCTAACTTCTAGGCCAAACCAGATTCCTTAAAAACTTAAAGCATTAAAAAAGCAAACAAACAAACCAAAAAAAAACTTCAAGAATATTTCAGCCTCAGTGCCTTTGTCTTTGTAGTTTTCTTTTCCTAGAACTTTTACATCTTTAGCTGTCTGCTCAAATATAATCTTCTCAGGTTTTTCCTGACCACACTATGATATATTTTCCATCCTTCATCCCTCTTTGCCTTGCTTTATTTACCAACACTTAGTAACATATATTTATATTTTGGTTTATTATCTTTCTCCTTCATTAATCCGCAAGTGAGACTTTTTCACTAGCATGTCCTCACAGTTCAGAACTGTTTGCTGAATGAATGAACAATGAATGTTCATTATCCATCCATTAGTGTGATCTTGCTGGTAGCCTTCTAGATAGGTATATTATGATGTGAATAACAATCATGATATTCTCTCATTTCTGTATCTGAGAAGAAAGAATTCTAAAATGTGAGGCTTATGAGCTCAGAAAGTATTACACTCTTGATTTAACTTGAACAGCTGAGAGAACATTTTTGGCATATGTTATTGGCTTTCTTTATGCATTATCCCTTGTGTCATATAGGGAATCTTTGAAAATATGAAGTGTCCTAATTATGTTTACAGCTGCGATTTCAGTTTGGTAGCTCTAGTGATAGTGTAAGCCTTAAGAGCAGAGTGGATTTTTGTGTGTGGCAGATACCCAGAGATATAATTATAGCTTTAAAGTGTTTTCGTTTGGGGGGGTAGTAGCTGTTACACTTTTCTTGGCAGTTCATTCCTTTTCATCTCGCTGTTATCAGTTTTTGGATCATCTAGAAGGGTACAATTACTTAAAATCTTTGACCTTTTGCACACTTTATATCTCTCATACATTAAAAAAAAAAAAACCTGCAAGGGATGGCTCTGAGGGTCTTTGCACTGAGCTGTTTTCTTATTCCCTAATTTTGAGTTTTCCAGACTGGTGTTGAAATTGTGACCCTCTTGCCTCAGTCTCAGAGTGCTGGGATTATAGGTATGAACTACCATGTCCAGCTTCATGGGACAGTTTTATCTTTTAGCATGAAACAATACCTGGAACAAAATATATCATTGTACCTTCATTTAGAAGGAAGGAAAAATTGTATCTTGAGGCAGGATTTTTATAGAAAATATATTAATGTAAGATTATTGAAGATTTGAGCTCCAGTTGGGCTACTTTTTAGTGAGTTGGCTTTGGGGGGGGGAGGGGGGCTTGCTTCTTGCTGTTAAAGAGAAATACCCCCAAGGGCTGGCCAGATAACTCAGTGGACTAAAGCACCTGCATAGGCAGGCATAGGGAGCGGTGTTCAATCCCCAGCATGTTGTGCAGGCCGTGCTCCCAGGGCACTCTGAGACAGCTGTTGAGACTGGGCATGGTGGCTCACGCCTGTAATCCCAGTGGCTGGGAAGTTGAAAACAGGAGGATCACTGCAAGTCTGATCTGTAGACCCTGTACTAAATACCAAAAAAAAAAAAAAGAAAAAAAGAAGAAGTATCCCTAAGACACAGTCCAGAGACCTTCAAAAATTCGTTTTACTTATGTTCCAAATATACAAGAACTTTGTGGAAGAATCCTAAATAAAACTTTTGTTCTTTTGAAGGCCTCATGAGGCTGCATGTTAATTTTTACTTGTATTATTGGCATTTCTTGAACATGTATTTGGGGGCAATTCTGTGTGTTCTTAATGTGTGCTGCATAACCATGTTCAGTTTTAGACTGCCAGCCTGGTTTCTCATTATTATTATTATTTTTTTCTCTCAGCTACTTCCTGTTGTAGTATTTTCTCTGTGAATGAACTCACCCAGCCTGGGACATTAATATCCCTTGGGTGCAGATGACTCTGTCTGTATACCTCCCATTCTTCCTCAGGTTCCAGACTTGGCACTTTCAGGTGTTTCTGTTGTCTTTGATTGCTGCTGCACGGTCCCAAATTGGTCTCTCAGTTTCTCTTTCAAACTTCAAAATTTGTGTTCCTCTTCCATGACTTGTCGTCCTTCCTGTCCATCCACTAGCCTGCCCCATCTTATTGTCATTTCTGTTCTCTCATTGTTCAGGTACCTAAAAGTCATCCTTCATCTTTCCCTACCCCATGTCTAAGCCATTGGCTTGACCTGTCAGCTGGGCCTCCAGAATATTTCAGATTCTTCCATTCCTGTGCTTTCTAATTTAGCCACTCTTTTCTCTCAGCAGGTTGATTGTCTGCTGCCTCCTACCTCATTTCCTAGCATCACACTTTCTATCACAGTCTCTTTATAGCAGCCAGAGTAATCTGACTGATAAATAAGACCGTGCCACCTCTCAGGGTAGTGCCTTCCTACTGCACATATAGTCATATCTACACTTATTCTGAGGCAGCAGCCCCTGCCTCCTCCAACCCCTGCTCACCCCTGCTCATTGCACTGATCAGGTAGACTGCCATAAATTGCTCCAATATGCCAACTTCTCTTTTGACTAGATCTTCTTTTTACCTGTCACTTTGGCCCAACTCTTCTTATAGAAAGATCATTCTCAAACATCTACTTTCAGCTAAAATGTTTCCTCAGAGCGCCTACCCTGATGACCCTTTCTATAGCAGCTTCCTCTCCATTATCCACTGCCTTAGTATATATGTATCTCCCTGCTTGGGTACCTTTACCAAAAAAACCCAGGAATTTTATTTTTATGCTTGTGTTTCTATCTCTAAGGTCAACTTTTTCAGTAGATGGCAAGATCTATGAAGGCAGGACCAGGGAGACAGCTCAATGGAATAAGTGCTTCCCTAGCAATCACAAGGTCCTGAGTTCAATCCCTGGTACCTGGGGTGGGAGAGACCTATGAGGACAGGAAAAACCTTGCCCAGTTATAGCATAGCTCTGGAACCCAGTGCTGTGCCTAGAATCTGGTTGGTGGAGGGGCTGAAACATTGTTAATAGTTATTGCAGCAGCTTTTTTTTTTTTTTTAGATTTACTATCTAGCAAGTCCAAGTGCATTCACTTACTCATCATGCAAATCTTTGAGAAAACCTAGTAAGATGGGAGTGCAAATATATATTTATAAAGATAAATATGTAATATATTTTAATATATAAGTAATATATATATATATATATATATATATTTTCTTAACTGAGAAAATGGAATTCAGAGAAATTTGGAAGTTTTTGAAGTTAACTCAGTTATAAGCACTTACCTGGCATGTGCAAGGTCTGAGTTCAATTCCCAGTACTGCAAAAAAATAAAAAAATAAGAGTTAACACAGCTAAGAGTAATTAAATTGGGATTTTAATTCATGTGACTTAACTTTTGGACCTCCTGCTTATCTTTTACAGCTCTCTGACATGAATGTGGGAATAAATATGAGATATGCTGTTACAATCATTTGGTAGATCCTCATGTTTGTATATGGGAGCATAAAAAAATAAGAATGTTTGGGTTAAAATGTATCCTCCTCCCCAGTGGAACTGAGAGTATTGTGTTACACAAGCATTGAGCTATGTTCTTAGCCCCTTTTATTCTTTTATTTTGAGACAGAGCCTTGCTAAATTGTCAGGGTTGTCCTTGAGCTTTGCCATCTTTCTGCTCTGGTCTCCCCAGTAGCTGGGATTACAGGTGTGTGCCACTCCACCCAGCCAAAAATTTCTCTTAGTAATCACTATGCTAAGCT